TATATATATATATATATATATATATATATATATATATATATATATATATATATATATAGCCTTTGTCATTTTTAATTATTTAGCCACAAATGTCATAAAACTTTAAACACTGGCACAAAAAACAAACAAACAAAAAACAAAAAAAACGCACCACCTGGATTTAACGTAGCAAATAGATAAAAACAGAATGAGCAATTATCTTTCAGGTGAAAACAAGTTATTTATTTTATTTTTAAACTGCCACTTATTCTTTTATTTTTATACAGTTTAAGGTCCTCACATCAAAATCATTCTAAATTAGATAGTAAAACCAAACCAGTCAGTTTAAAGAAAAACTGATAAATATTACAAAGTATGGGATAAAGAAAAAAGGGAGATCGTTTTATGAAAGAAGTTAAGGATAAATGGTAAGTATCCTGAACTTAGATACTGCTTTTTCAGGTCAGGAGACTTGATCAAAGCGCTGTACATTACATGCAGTCATTCCTCCATTCACACACAACGATGGTGGCAAGCTACATTGTGGCCACCGCTGCCCTGGGGCTGACTGCCAGAAGCGAGTGTGTCTTACGACCTGGTGGGCCTCAGTCCAGTAGAGGTAGGCAATGCAGGTGAAGTGTCTCCCCAGACTGGAAAAAAGTCTAAATCTAGATTTCATTTTTTCATATTGATTTGAGAAGGTAAAGGAGACATTTTGCCAATGAACAAGACAATTTACATTTAAAATAAGAAAACATAATTGCACTGTCTTATTTCAGGTGCATTTGATCTAAATATCTTATTTTAAGAGTAAAAATACATTTAAATTGGCAAATCATCCTATTTACCTACTCAAATTAAGGGTAAATACACTTAATGTAAGAAATTTGTACTTATTTGTAGATCGTTTTTCCAGTGCAAGGACACAACGCTGACAGGCAAAGCTTTTGGCTTGAACTGACAACCCTACAGTTGCAGGGCAAACCCCTGCACTTTACAAAAGCATAATACAGGAAAATGTGTCCATTATGGGTGAAACAGGACTGTGCAGTAGTGCAGTTTGTAGCACTGTTGTCTTGCAGCAATAAGGTTGCGGATTGGAATTCTGGTGCAGGATTTTCTGCATGGAGTTTGCATATTCTCCTGCATGTATAGGTTAACTCTGGCTTCCTCCCACAGACCGATGACTTTTAGGTTAATTAGCAAATCTAAATTGTCCTTGGGTTTATGAGTTGCCCTGTGACAGACTGACGACCTTTCCAGGGTAGACCCCACTGTTACCAGATGGATTATGTGGGAGAAAATGGATAGATGGGTGAAATGATTGCGGAACATGTTATATTATGTCAAGAAATATAAAGTTTTGTGAGAATAAAAAAAATTAAGAAACATAATTTATGATAGATACCTTACAAAGTAATTTAGGAACCAAACAGATATGAATTATAAGATTTAAACAACTAAATTGTTTATTAGTTTTTGATTATATATCAAACTCCATACCAGCCAGTGGATGAGCTACTTGCGCGCTTCAGGTTTTTTACCTTCAGTTATTCCTCTGCCTCCTTTAGTGATAATGGTGTGTATTAAGTGTAGGATTTTTGTAGCATTGGAGGCGAGTTAGAATCCCGGCTTCGAGATGTTTAAATCCAGGAGTCTGAAAAAAGGCCCACCAAAACCAGTGACACTCCCACTATTGGTCCTCCAAAAATGCCTGAGCAGCCAGGCGAATGGGTAACGGTTCGCAGAAAGCTGTCCAGGGGTGATGCTGAGAAACTAGTCCATGCATTTGTTACTTCAAGGCTGGAGTATTGTAATTCTTTACTATCAGGAAGTCCACAAACTGTAGTTAAAAGCCTTCAGCTGATCCAAAATGCTGCAGCCAGAGTTCTAATGAAAATGAAAAAGAGAGATCATATCTCTCCTATCCTGGCTTCTCTTCATTGGCTTCCTGTTAAATCCAGAATAGAATTTAAAATCCACATATAAAGCCTTAAATGGCCAAGCTCCATCTGATATCAGAGATCTGATCGTTCCTTATGTTCCTAACAGAGCACTTCGCTCTCAATCTGCAGGTTTACTAGTGGTTCCTAGAATTTCTAAAAGTAGAATGGGAGGCAGATCTTTTAGTTATCAGGCTCCTCTCCTGTGGAACCAACTACCAGTTTTAGTCCGTGAGGCAGACACCCTATCTACTTTTAAGGCTAGGCTTAAAACTTTCCTTTTTGATAAAGCTTATAGAGTGGCTCAGGTTATCCTCTATAGTTATGCTGCTATAGGCTTAGACTGCTGGAGGACATAGGGACCCCTTTTCATCCTTCCGTTTCATCCCATTTTCCAATTCTGCAGAATTTATTACTTCAATCATGAACGTTATTCTCTCTCTGCTTTTTTTCATAGTAGCTTTGTTCAATTCAGTTTATTTATATAGTGCCAATTCACAACATCAAGGCACTTTACAGTTCTTCATCTGGTCTGTTTCTGTTTGGCTGTGACGCCATCCTGGAGAGGGTGTCGGCTGTGCTGCTGCCATCAATGACTTTGTGGATGTTGGAGCTTGGCCTATTTTTCAGTGTAGTCCTGTTTCTCTGATTTTAAATAACTAAGTGCGGCACGGAGCCGCCTGTGGAGCTGGTTGACAGTTGCCTTTTTTATCTTTTCTTTCTCTATGTCTGCTTCTGTCTCCTTGAACCCCAGTCGGCCTCGGCAGATGGCCGCTCACACAGAGTTCTGCTGCAGGTTTTTCTCCTATTAAAAGGGAGTTTTTCCTCTCCAGTGTCGCTACAAGCATGCTTGGTGTGACAGCCTTGCCTTCGAGTCAGTGAGTTCATGCAATCAATTGGTTTTCCTTAGAAAGAAAACTTTAAATCTGTACGGTACAATCCGACTGTATGATCTGGTGAACTGTAAAGTGCCTTGAGATGACATGTGAATTGGTGCTATATAAACTGAATTAAATATCAAGCAGCTAAGTGTCTCATCTTTGCACATAGTTTATGTTTACAGCTGGTAAAATATGGGACACAAAGGCTGAGCAAGGATTATATCCTGCCAGTAGTTGAAGGAAACATGAGTGGCTCAACATAATTTATTTCCATTTTATGTTAAAATGTACAGAGTTCTTGCTAAGAAAGAAAACAAAAATAAAACAAATGAATAACTTGAAATGCATTCAGGGACAGAGTAGAGAGCTGAGGTGGCTGAGCACGACTCAACCTTCACTGTGTGCTCTGCTGTCACCCCGTCTCTTTATTTTTGCGCTCTCTCTTAGCGTACAACGCAACATGTACAATTACAAAGGATACAAAAAGGGAAGCAATATAAACAGACAAATATACTGAGCTCATTTGTACATGCCTCTTAAATGTAAGGAAGTCATCCTATACACACACAAGTAAAAAAGGAAAAAAAAACAAAAAACGAAAAGAATGCCAAGTGACCTTTAGATATTTGTAGTCCTTTTGTTTAAAATAGCATTAATATACTACACAAAGATAGAAAAACTCTAGAGTTGAGATGGAATGGAGAGGTTAAAGGCATCTTAAAGTCACTAAAAGTGAGTGGTAATTTTTTTTACATTTTGAATTTCTTAGTAATCATCCAGAAGGCGAGCTAAAAAAATGATTTTTTTTTTGTCGTTTCCTGAAACAGAAGTGGGAAAAGAAATGACAGTACCAATATCAATGTCAGAATTAGCTTTTTATATTATAGAAAAACATCTTCTCTACAATAGTTTTCTAAAGACAAAAAGAGTCAGCTTGTGTCATAAAAGAAAGCTGCCCAGTCTGATAAAATTCAGAAACCGAATGACGAAAAGAAACGAGTAAAGAACAGAGCAAAACACTCAAAACCAAAATATGCATGTAGGAAAAAAACAAAACAGAAACCCAAAACTCTTCCTTTGACTTTCAACACTGGTACAAGGAGCGACAGGATGACTTTCTTTTTTTCTTTTTACACGCCTGTCCTCTGAACGCCGCTCCCTCGCCTCTGACCCTGCTTTAAGTTAAGTGCGCCTCGGTCTGAGGGCCGATCCGAGCACTAGATCGGGCATTTTAGGCACACCTTTCAAAAAGGCTGGATGTCTGCTGCCAAACGTCTAGTCAATGGGAGTGCAGAAACGAAAACTAGTTTGAGCAGAATAACAGAAAGCGAGCTCCTGGACCTCTAGGAAGAGGCGGGGCATCTAGAAACACCCTTTATATAGAGCAGGTCAACTCTGCATTCTCTAAGCTGCTAAAAAAGGCTGACACTGTACACCGTCAGTCAGTGGAGTG